ACGAGCCGAGCTCGTGAGACAATGGGCAGAGCCGGCTCGGCTCGGCCCATTGACACCACTAAAGACGGGTTGGAAGCAGAGAATTTGTGGAATGCTGGTAATAGAAACTTCAGTTTCGAGGGAGGATTCTGGGGATGGCACTGATTTGGGGGTTTGGCTCGACAAATGCTGAACTCTGATTTCAATAAATATGAGAAACAATACAATCCATATCTGTGGCCACTATACAAGGCTGCAATAAAGCAAAAGATCAATTGGCTGGCTTGTTAACTACGTATTGAATTAAAATAGATTATAGGTATCCATGAGGTAAAAACAAAATACCTACAGCATTGTCATGCCACATTGAAACGGGTTGTAGGACTGGGCAGGGCCAAGTTGCCCAGTTGATCAGCTTCATTGGTTGACGATGTAATTTTGACAACTTACACATATCCCTAAAAGCATTTGGAAAATTAAGTATCGCCTTTTATATTTAAAAAGTGACAATATAATTTTTTTTTTTATTGATTAAGTGACACAATGTCACTTTTGTTAAAAAGTGATTTTCCACTCAAAAAAGTAACGAAACTTTGAAGGAAGTAACACACATATATGCGTCTATATTTAATTGATTAGAAAATAAAAATCAAAGGACATAAATTGTGGCCTTCTTAAATATTTTCAAAGTTTATATATGAAATGATTGGAATCAAATGTGGTTCAGAACACCATATGTAGGATGACTCCTGGTGTGCATTTCAATACCAATGGCTTCACACGTTGCTTTCACCATTTAAAACAGCATCCTTCCGGAAAATGTCAACAAAACTTGCAATTATGTAGTGCATGGATCTGTATCACCATCTCAAACTTCTTGAACACATTATAATCTCATTGTTATTGCCAGCTTATTCACCCATAGCTGCATAATCAAGAATTAAACAATCCTTCAGGCCCCACCATCTTCTTTGATATACTAATTGACTCAATTCAGGTAAACAATCAACTTCCCATCCTATCATAGATCTGAGATACGATCTTGATCCAAATGCTTAAAAAGTGCTAGTGGAACACTCAAGCATTGCTTTCGAGGAGGACACAAAAAAATTATTGTCTGGCTTGGGAGGTTAGATGCCTTCCTACAAGATCATGAGTCGCTGGCTCTTTTTTAAGTTTCTACTTGTGGCATTCAATTTCATGGACTGTAGGTAGTGGCTATGATCGGTTCGGTAGAAAAGAAGGAATAGAGTGGATTTTCTGGAGGATCCATATTGATCTACAAACTTAACTATAACTCGATTGCATTTTTTCAATACCAGAATCCGACATGGACACGAATGCTACTTGCAACTTGTTTACAGTTATGGGAAAAAAGGGAATTGGACTGATTGAAACCGGAATTGAAGAATTTGTTTAACAAACAGAGACCGAGATAACTGCCACAAGCATTTAAGCAGTAGTTCATAGTATGAAAGCCTGATGCTATAAGCTCCACCTATCAAGAACAGCTACAACTCATAATTGTTGAAATAAATACGAAATGTTAATCCAAACACAGATTTTCACAATGCCTAGAGCAAAATTGAGGAGAAAGATATGCCTCAACTTCAATCATCCCTAGTCGGAAACAGGTTGAGGACTTCCACACCAGGCGGCTCCAAATCCTCGGCATACAAAGGAGACACCACTGAACCATTACTACTATGAACCGGCACCCCCACACTCTGCACTTGCTGGTGGGACTGCCTAATCTGTGGATAGTGCCTCAGCCCCTGCCCCAGCCCCAGCTCCAGCTCCAGCCTTGGCCCAACCTCTGCCGTCATTTGCTGCTGCTGCATTGCTGCCACCGGCATAAATGGCAAAAAATGACTGGAACTTGGACTGGGCCCGCCTGGATGCAAGAAATGCACCGGCACAGGCGAGCTTGCGATCAAATGATTAGTAGGATTCACACTTACATTATCCCCACCAATACCACCTCTCCCGTTACTGTTAATTCCGTTCATCCGTTTCAAATAAAGAGTGTATTTTTGCAAATGTTTAGCAATATCTTCTCTGGTAAGTCCATCCACGCCCATCAGCTGCTTTATAGTCTTGGGCACAGCTCCTTTGACCCCCAAATGAGCTACAGCATCTGTAAATCTCTTATGCAACTGTGGAGTCCAAACGAGCCGCGGCCGCCGCCGTAACGTCCAAGCCGGATCGTCCGACCCGACACAGGCTCTGGCCCCGGCTACTCCCCCATCACCACTCAACTCGACCGATTCGGATTCTACAGAAGACTTAGCTTGAGAAGAGTGCGAGGAAGTTTGTGGCAGCACTCCGTTGTGATTTGGGGGTGAGTTTCGAACATCAAAAGCCTGTTTTAACACAGACGTCTGAGCAACAAATCATGATCCAGTTTTAACTCTTAGTCAAATATACCGTTAATTAATGTATAATGAAAATATAAAAG